TTGTATGTGTGCAACTGATCGTTCCTTCCTAAGTGGAGTACTTTGCATTTGTCCTTATTGAATTTCATCCTATTTACTTCAGACCATTTCTCCAGTTTGTCCAGATCATTTTGAATTTTAATCCTATCCTCAAAAGCACTTGCAACACCTCCCAGCTTGGTATCGTCCGCAAACTTTACAAGTGTACTCTCTATGCCATTATCTAAATCATTGATGAAGACATTGAACAGAATCGGACCCAAAACTGATCCCTGCGGGACCTCACTCATTATGCCCTTCCAGCATGACTTTGAAGCACTGATAACTACACTCTGGGAATGGTTTTCCAACCAGTTTTGCACCCACCTTATAGTAGCTCCATCTAGGTTGCATTTCCCTAGTTTGTTTATAAGAAGGTCATGCGAGACAGTGCTTCCCCCCATCCACAAGGCTTGTTACCCTGTCAAAGAAAGCTATCAGGTTGGTTTGACACAATTTGTTCTTGACAAATCCATGCTGACTGTTACTTATTACCTTATAATCATCTAGATGTTTGCAAATTGATTGCTTAATTATTTGCTCCATTATCTTTCTGGGTACAGAAGTTGAACTAACTGGTCTGTAATTCCCTGGGTTGACCTTATTTCCCTTTTCATAGATTGGCACTATATTTGCCCTTTTCCAGTCTTCTGGAATCTCTCCCGTCTTCCGTGACTTTTCAAAGATAATCACTAATGGCTCAGATATCTCCTCAGTCAGCATGACACAGAGCATCTTAGTTGACATATCAGGATCAAACCAGGATCTCCAAAGCTAAAAGCCTGAGCTTTTACAGCTTGAGTTAAAGAGACAGCCCCTCAAGTTGGGAGCTGTAACAATTCATGTCCTCTGTAGATCAGCACAGAGGGGGATCTGTAACACACATGCTCACCAGTGAGTAACCTGAATATTATATTTGGCTAAGCGAGTGCAGCCCAGATTTTAATATACCTGGGTTAATGTCCAGAGTAATGAAGATCCAGTATAAACCTGATTTCACTGGCTGTCAAAAAATCTCTACATTCGCTTCTCTCTTATTATTTTTAATCTCCATCAATTTTTTATCACTACCAAGGGCTTCTGTTATTGACTTTACTGCTCTCCTGGTTTCTGCCACCATTTCTGCCAGACTTCTAGAATTTAGTGCTACCTGGGCACGACTGGTTTCATCTCTATCCCCAGCATCCCACCCCAAAACAGCTTCAGATACACACTGAATAGGAGCGTTGGGGAGATGAAACCCCCACCGGGCCTTCCATCAGGGAAGGTGAAACATTGCCTAAAAGAGTGGACCTACTGCAGAGTGATTCCATCCTCCCACTAGATCCCTTAGACAGGTCACTGCACATCATGACCAAGGACTAGTGAAAGAACTAAGGAAACGAGTATGGGCAGAGGATCTGTCCATTGCCAGAGGGAGATCATTGGCCAGAGAAATTGGTATAGTTCCTAGACAGCTCCTAGGCCTAAATCCAGACTGGTAAGGATCCCAGAAATGAGAAGAACTGGAGGTAGTGTTGAAGTTGGTTCCCTCCATTCTTCTCTATAACCGTCCTCAGGATGGGAGGGTCTGAGGCAGAGGAAGACATGATGAGAACGTTAGTGAGAACTGAGGGTCTCTTGAGCAGTATGAAAACAGGTGAGTCAGGTGTGAGAACAGAGAGGTGTCCTAGTTGGAGAGCGAACATAGTAGTGAGGGCTTCACCCTTGGGAGGTGAGTGACTAAAGGGATGGAAGGATGAGGGAGATGTGGGTGAGTTTTAAGAGAATGGCTGGGTGATGTGGTTATCTGGTGCATGAGAGAAACAGATGTAAATTACGCGTATGTGCGAGAGAGAAAGAGACCAGTCAGATAACAGTCTCATTAACTACATAGTCCTGATCCATCTTCCGAACACTGTCCAGCCTGTGCTCTGAATAAATAGTGTGTGATCATCTAACTGAAAACAGTGTCATAATGCAAATGCTCAAGGGAGTTGGGTTCAAGTTGCCCAGCCAACCCAAATTCTGCCATTTCCCGAATTCTGAGCGCTTGACTTTGCAAACATAATGTTCCTTTAATGTAGTCTCTCTGTGTGTAACTTCCTAGGTTAGAGCAAGCTGAAAAAATGGCAATTCCATGATGCAGGATGGATGAAGTGTCCCTTGCTTGGGTACCCTTCTGCAGCAGGCCATAGCATAATAAGTGCACCTGACTCAGTTTCCCCTCCAGTGGTTCCCAGAAACTCCACGAACAGGCATTCTTGCCTAAATAATACCCCTCCTTGGGGACACTATTACAAAAACATAGCGCAAGTAGTCCATAATGAAAGTCCCAGACCTCAGTGCATTTATCACCCCCAGTTCACGCAGTCCTGTGACCCCCTGCCATATTTTAAGTCCTTATTCCAACACACCAGGGTGTTAGATCTGCTCAACAAAACGGTTGTAAGAATTTTCCAACCTGAGCAAAACAACATATGTTTCACCAACCTCATTATGAGAAACTGCTGAACTGTTTTGGCTGAAATTTTCTAAGAAAAATTCAGCCCGAGCCAGACACCCAAAATGGAAAAGATCAGTCAAAATAGTTAAAGGTTGGCAAAGCAAAAAGCAACTGAAAACAGGATCTTATAAAGGAAAGTGCTGGGCAACCTTAACCACAGGCAGTTTCTAGCTTTCGTTCTTGGAGAGAAACACTTGAAAGAGTGACAAGTTCATCCTAAAATATCAAAAAACAGAAGGCAAATGAAACGCTCATGAAATTGGGGTGCAGGAGGGGGTGAGGGCTCCGTGGCTCCCAGTCGACGGCGCTTACTCCCACCTCCGCTGGTGGAGTAAGAGTGTTGATTCAGCGATCGATTGTCGCGTCCCGACGAGACGCGATAATTCGATCCCCGAGAGATCGATTTCTACCCGCCGATTCAGGCGGGTAGTGTAGACCTAGCCTTAGAGAGTTATACCAGTATAACCATATTGGTTTAAATTCACACCCTACCTTATATTGAAATAACCTTTTCATGTAGACATGTCCTAAGGCACCTCTACTGTGCAATTTACTAGGCTCTCTTCTGGTACCTTCAAAACAGTTGTGGGAGCAGTTTAGGTGAGAAGTTATTAATTTGCAGATGAAATTATGCTATCCGCTACCTAGACTTCCAAACGTGTCCCTGCTCCCTTCCCACAAACAGTGTTTTAAAAAAATCAAATCCCTAAAACATAATTAAACCAAATACTTTGAACTGAATCCAAATGCAGAGCTGGGGCCAGAGTCTTCTCTTGCTTCCCTTAGTGCATATGCTGTTGCCAGCCTCTACCCTTCCAGAGGCTTATCTGAATCTCTCACCACCCTGCGAGGTTTTCCCATCCAATGCACATTTAGTACATCCCATCCTCTTGGTATAAATCATCATCCTTTTGCCCTAGCGCCAATCACTATAATCGACATCCTAGTCCCTCACTTTACACAATACTACAGTTGCTAGCTACATAAACCCTTCGTAATAAATAATTCATTGTTTCCTAGCTGAGAAAGAATCAGGAAACCAGTGAAAAGATTCCAATACATTTTAATTTCAATATTGTAATTGACTTTAAAAAAACAAAACAAAACTGGTGCCTTGTACAATAGGGGCCTGATCCAATGTCCATTGAAGTCAATGGGGGGAGGGGTGTCTTTCCATTGAGTTCCATGGTGATTAGCTCAGGCTGTAAGTGAAGGGAGAAGAGACGCAATGAATGTAATCCCACCGCGGAACATCTGGGCATGCATCTGGTTTAAACATGACTGGGCATAAACCTCCCTCTTCTGTCTGGGTGAATGAGGATCTGACCACAGCATTCAGTCAGAAGCAGGAGATACTGGATAGCTAACAACAGCCTGTGTTCTAGACTGAACAGCTTCAGATAATAATGTTGATTGGTTCATATATGGTGCCTTTCATACAAAGAATGCAAAGCACTTTACAAAGCAGTCCCTGCTTTACAGATAAAAATCAACACACACGCAAGTAGCATGGTTTCCCCTCTGATTGCAGTGTAAACATACCCCCGGTCTCTTGCTCTAACTAGTAGATCACACTGCTTCAAGGGAATATTTATCCAAATGAAAAAGAAGATTCTGGGGGCTTTTACTAAATCATGACTGGGGAAAGGTGGAGAACAACAATTTTGCTGTCAAGCCCTCGCTGACGAGTTGAGAGAAGTTCTCTCTAAACACAGCAGGAAACTGGATATTTTGTTTACCCCACCCCAGTTAGGCTAGTTATTTTGATAGCTCTGTAGTGTATGCATTTCAGATTGTTTGGTAAGAGGCAGATGCTGCAGCTGAACATGCTGTTAGAGAGAATTATTACAAGACCCAATCGAAATTTTCTCACTGAAAGATTTTTTTCAACAAAAAATGGCTTTTTGACCAAAACAAATTTTTCCACAAATATTTTTACTGTGGTTAAAATGTTTATTTTGGTTGAAATTTTTTTTTTGAGAGTATAACTTCCCCGTCCTGCCCAAGTGCGCAAAACAGGTTCTCATAAAAACAATTGGGTTTTGAAAACCAAACATTTTTTTAACTAAAAATTGTTTTTGAAGACTGAAAAAATTTTGGTTTCATTTTTTCAATGAGAGACAAAAAATTTCAGTGGGGAAACATAAAACTATAAAAACAATTTTAAAAAACAATTTCCCGTGAAAAATAATTGTCATTTTTTGACTAGCTCTAAGTTATCACACTACTGAATACTCTAGATGTGAAGGCCTTGGGGTTTAAGAAAACATGGAGATAACATCTTATTTATCTCAATATTCCCCTTGTAATGAGTCTGTTCTTTCAGTATTTCCTAGGATACAAACAGAAGAGCACAAATCAGGTAATGCTCATTGACACCAAAAGAACATCTGGCACTGACTTCTATGGAGCGATGTCAGTTTACACAGCAGAGGCTGTGGCCCATTGAGTTTATACATGCACGTGTGGTATATCTATCTATCTATCTATCTATCTATCTATCTATCTATCAACATCTCTATCTGCACACATGGTAGGTCAGAACCGATATGAAGTAGTAGGATTCCCTCCTCTCCTTTCTCAGGAAGAATTTTCCTTTCTATTCACTAATTTCATGTTGAGAGCCTTAAAATTGTTGATTAGTTAAACATCAGAAAAACAGCAAGAAGGAGAAGAGGGAGCGCAAGTATTCTAAGCAAATTCAAGACGGGGAAATGTTTCTGAGAATCATGTACGACTCGGGTCCTCGTAGCCTTCAGCGTCCGGTCCCACTGGGTCAGGATGGCATTTCTGGCTCCATCCCACTTCCCCGGTCCCATCAGACAAAACTGGTATGGACTGCATGGGCCAAAGTACACTTCCAGGGCCAGCCTTGGATCCGTCAGGAACAGCAGTGGAAAATTGGGCTTCACACCAATAGCAGAGGCGAGTTCATCCATGTAGGAAATATAATCTGTCTGTAGGGTATTGCTCTGCCCATACCTTAAGGTGGGAAGGGAGAAGATATAATACATTGCTGAGTACAGTATTGTTGTACTCAGTATTGTTGTAGAAAAAAGGCATTTGGTTAATGGACACAAGGTTAACTCTGCACTTCTATATGGTGGTAGAAGGGATAGCTACACCTTGGAGTATATCTATTGTTGCTGTGATGCGGTATGCTATTGTTGCACAGAAATACTGCGGCAAACACATTTAACTCGCTGCAATCTTACGTCTCATTGCCTCAGTGAGAGTTTTCCCTGAGTGAGGGTTGCAGGGACTGGGGCTGCTCTGAATAAGCTACTTCTAAGACCTGTTCAGAAGGGGTGATTTCATGTGTTTGATATACAGAATTGGACTGTGACTGGATTACATCTGAAAAGGGCCAGTCTGATACTGCTGGAGAGTGAAGCCTTATATTTGTTAACAGAAGACATGCAGCGTGGACAACTACAGTGTAGGTCTCCCCCCCCCCCCCCAAGCCCCTCACTTGTGTGCTTCATCTGGGAGCTGGTGGGCCCTGTTCCAAGGGTGAGAAGGTATTCTGTTCTCAACCTTGGCCTCTGTGCTGCAGGTGTCACTAAAGCAGCCAGTGTAACGGGCCTAATGGGGGGGGATTTGGAATCCAAGCAGGAAAGAGAGGCAGAGGCAATCTAGAGGTCAAATTATGTTTTATCTCAATCAGTTGGGGAAATGTAGAAATCAGTTAAGTGGCGAATAATCACAAGTAAATCAGTTAGTTGTTTTAGCAGGAACTACTATTTAGGGTTACGCCGTAACCTACGGTAAACAATCACTGTTATCTACTGTCTATTGACTATCACTATCTTAATTAAACTCTTGTTATAGGCAATAATTAATGAAATAACAGAATTTTGAATTAGAAAATACAATGCACCAGAACATAAACCCCACCATTGTATGTTCCCTGGTCAGTTTCTTATTTGCAGCCTCTGTAAGCCCAGGGTTTGGAGTAGAGATTCTTAGGATGTTTAGTTATATATTGAGCAAGTCTCTTGTGCAATCTTTGTTCACTGTTCTAAGATTCAGCTTAAATAAAGGCATGTATGTACTCCTTGATGCGATGTGCTGGCTTCTTGATTGAACAATTCTCTCTCCCCTCCTTTCTGGCTTACAGTCCCTTTGCTCAGACATTTTCTCTATTCCTGTCACTTCACCTCGTCTACCTTAAGATGTTTTGTTTTACATCATTATTATTTTCTTACTTGCGCTACAGCTCACTTCCTCCTTGTTTCTTAAGTTTGTGTCCCTTTAATTAGAGTTTATCTTTTACTGCTGCTTATTTCCCCCACATTCATTCTTGCTTTACCTTTCTCACAGTTTTCTAACACTCTTTTTCTAATAATTTCTTAGATTACTTAGAGACATAGTCCTTTTTCCTCGTTTAACTGCATTTTTCTTCCTTTAACTTTTCCTCTTTTCCCTGTGTACCACTATCTTGCCTCTTTCTAGGTCCTGTCCCTGTTGTGGCTCTCCCTTCTCTTCTTGTGATCTCTGTCTTTCTTGCCCTTCCTGAACTGGACTTTCTTCCTTTCAGCTCTGTTCCTATTGCCCCTCCGATGATGCAACTTAGCCTATCCATTGGCTCCCCACTTCCTGCATCCCTTCTTCTCTGGTGCCAGTCACTGCCTCACTCACTACTAGCCTTGCTCTCTTCCACTGCTCTTTTGCCCCAGCAGCCTCCAGTGCAGATGTGGTGTTACACCAGCATGACAGGGGTACTCTGCACTATTGTGGCCCTGAGGCCCCAAACTCTTTCTATTCTATGCCTTCTTGGATCCTGAGGACACATCCCATGGCAACACTACGATCTGGCTTTGTAAGGGATGCAAAAGCAAGTACTTTGGCTGGCAGGATTACTACAAATAAGACCACACTCTGTTAACTCCAGCAACAGTTGTCCATTTGTTATAGATCATGTGATTCTCTCACCTCATATGTTAAAGGTGACGTAAGCTCGTGAGCAGATAGGCAGAGTTGCCAACTCTCCAGGATTGTCCTGGAGTCTCCAGGAATTAAAAATTAATCTTTAATTAAAGATTATGTCATGTGATAAAACCTCCAGGAATTTGTCCAACTGAAATTGGCAACCCCACCAGCCAGGGAGTTCAAATAAAGCCCTAACGCTAGTTCAGTTCAAGTCCCTTTCTTCAGGGCCAGCTTTCTCAACAGAAAGAAGATTCCAAAACAGGATCAAAGTAACAGAGAACACTTGGTAACAACTGACAGCTTTCCAGCTGACGGCAAGCTGGGAGGGGAGAGGACATCTCCTGCACTTAGGTAGGCTCTCTTGCGACAGCTTCCCTTTCTTTTATAGCCCCACCCTGAATCAATCACATAATGGGCAGAGAACCAGAGGGAAGTCGTGAAGATCAAAGGTATAACTGGGTTCAAAAAAGAATTAGAGAAGTTTCTGGAGCATAGGTCCATCAATGGCTTTAGCCAGGACAGCCAGGTATGCAACCCCATGTTCTGGGTGTACCTAAACCTCTCACTGCCAGAAGCTCGGAGTGGATCACTCCATAAATTTCCCTGTTCTGTTCATTGCCCCGAAGCACCTGGCACTGGCCACTGTTGGAAGACAGGATATTGGGCCAGACAGACCTATGGTCTGACGCAGTATGGCCATTCTTATTTTCTGCTTGTAACCCCTTCCATGAGTTAAGGAGTGCCTGTATACTTTGTCCCTGGTGAGAAGATGCCTATAATAATGGACTGACCCCCCAGACTGGAACTAACCTTGCTGGTCGGGAACTGAATTTGCATTTTGCAGGGAATTCCATGATTTTGAAAAAATCATTAATTCTGAATTGGAATGAAATGTCAAATTTCAAATTTTGCCGCAAAATGAAAATTTTTAGCTACAGATCAAGGTTGTATTTTGATTTTGACTCTGTTTTATGTTGACGTTTATAAAATAACACAAAAATGTAAAAACATTAAAAACTTAACATAAAATAAAAATAAATACATTTCAAAATTGAAAACTCAGAAAGTTCCAGTCCAATAAGGTTGGATTTTGACTGTCAGAAATGACACACTCTCATGGAACGTTTCAAGTTTAACAGATCCACATTTTCTGACAGAAAAACGCCCCACTGGAAATTTTTTGACCAGGTATGTACCCAATACAACTCCTGCCGAAGTAAAGGGAAATGCTTCTATTTACTTTAATGAGGGCTGGGTCAGGCCTGTAAACAGGATTCTCCACCATTCTGAGGGCAGCTATGCACTATCAGAGTGAGAGAGGTTCAGAACAATGGGGTGTGTGTGTTTGGGGGGTGCTGAATGCTTGTTGAGGAGGCCACAGAATTTTTAATGATCCTGAACCTGGTGCTGCAGAAGTTTTTTCTCTGTTATATTTGTTCGGTGGGCCAAATAGGGGAGAACCCAAGTTCCCAGGCTGAGGAGAGCACGTGATATACAATATTTGGGATGTGTGCTGGGGTGGGAAGTGGGAGTTTAAAAGAGTGGCTCCTTGGAAAAAGCCACTTGCTTATTGGATGGCAGGTTGTCATAATGTATCGGACAGAGCGTATGCATTACAGAGATCAGACCATAACATTATGTCGGGTTTATACAGAAAAGACAGGCCGTGGTGGCCTTTTTCATGCACCCAGAGCACGGAGGGCTACTTGAGAAGTGCACTTTGCACATACCATTTGAGCTTTTTCCCCATTTTTTCATCAATATCTTCCATCATGTCATTCACTGGGGGAAGCTTATATAACCCTAGAAAAGAACAGGTACAAGGTCACTAGTTTATTCCATCTCCTAATTAATAAGATACTCTTCCAGCCCCTCACCCATGCACTCAGTTAAACCAGCCATACTCCCACTGATCTACAACTTCTGGGGTGAGCAGGCCTAGCAAATCCCATGAGGTCTGCAGGTGCACAAATGAACGCCTGCTTCTCTTTTTGGACCAGATCCCCAGCTTGAATCTGCAAGGAATTATAGGTTGCATAGCAATGCTAGTTCTCACAGACAAGCTCATCTGGGACAGTTCTCCGCCCCCCTATTTCCCTTCACCTACCCTTAAACACCCTTATAGCCCAGCGAGCTTGGAGATCTGATGTTGGAATAATTGCACCAAGCGACTGGACCAGGCCAATGACAGCCATGGTTGGCTTCTCGAGTCGAGGAGGAAGGATGCCCTTGTACAAAGTGACCTCGTTGTCTCTGCATTTGATGATAGCGTTGTCTTCCATGAAGGGGTAGGAGTAGCTGTAGCCTGTTGCAAAGATGACAAAATCAACGTTTTCCTGCACAGTCCCATCCTGAAATATAGCTGAGGTTTCCGTGAATTCCTTCACATTGGGTTTCACCACCACTGTTCCACATGTGATGCGGCTTGGGAGATCATCATTGAACACTGGCTCTTTACGGCTGGTTCTATAAAGAAAGAAAAGCACAGAAGCCTGTAGTGGGGGGAAGGATAGCCCAGTGGTTTGAGCATTGGCCTGCTAAACCCAGGGTTGTGAGTTCAATCCTTGAGGGGGCCATTTAGGGAACTGGTGTAAAAAAAAAAAAATCTGTCTGGGGATTGGCCCTGCTTTGAGCAGGGGGTTGGACTAGATGACCGCCTGAGGTCCCTTCCAACCCTGATATTCTATGATAAAGTGCTTCCTGGCTAGGAGAAGCAGAGAGATCACTGTGTTTCTGTATGCGAATGTCAGGAAAAGGCGCTAACCCTTTTTCCTTGAGCCTATGGTTACCCATCGCCAGCGCTCCACAGTAGAAATTCCTGTACTTGCCAGCTTGCTACCTCCCAACACTAGTGCTCAGGCATGAGCTGATTTACATGGCATTGCTGGAGTACCTCTTCTTTTATTTGTAATGTAAGGCTGCAGACAGGATCACTTTAGCAATGAAGGGTTTTATTCTTTAAAGCTCAAGGAACCGTCTTTCTCATAGTAATCGCTTTAAGGCTGAATAAATAATTCGCAATTAATTTAGAATCTTTCTTTTGCTTATGGGATATCCATGAATGGATCACGATTTCCTCAGAATCTACCATTTTAAATTATTCAACAGTCTTTTTTTGTGTTTTAAAAATACCCAACCTATGGCTGGATTGGAAACAGTGCTTCGCAAGTCGTTTGTATTCTAAATTTGCTATTTGAACCTAGATTTGGTCAGATAAGTCACATGGTATTGTTTGTGTTCCCTGGTAAACTGGGGCATAAGTAATTCTGGCATGAATGCTCATAGGCATGAATTTAAAAGCCAGTTTCCACAAACAGGTCTGCATGCAATTTTGAAGTTTCCTTTACAAAAATATTGGTACCAATAAACTCATTTTTGTGGGACAGGGAAACATCGTTTGGTCTGTGTTTGTACAGCACCCAGCACAATGGAGTCCTGAGCCAGGACTAGGGCTTCTAGGTACTACTGTGATACACATGATCAATGAATATTTGTGAGAGACAAAACACATAAATATTGACAAATCAAATTCATTTAAAATTTGAATAAAACAATTTTTTTTCAGTATTTGGCCAACTTTGAGTTCTAATAATCTGGACACTATCTTTTTATATGTATTATAATTGACATTTAATTATGAGAGAAACAAGGTGGGGGAGGTAATATCTTTTATTGGACCGACTTTCTGCTTGTGAAAGAGAGAAGCTTTCATGCTACACCTAGCGTTTCTGGTCTGGAAAAGGTAATCCGGTGAACATTCTGATGACCTCTTCCATATTGAAGAAGAGCTCTGTGTAAGCTTGAAAGCTTGGCTTTTTCACCAATAGAAGTTGGTCCAATAAATGATATTTTCTCATCCATCTTGTCTCTCGCAAATCCTGGGACCTCATGGTTGCAACAACACTGCATACATCACATAATTACAGCTGTTCCTTGAAATAGGATCTGCTAACTCACTTTTGAGATTTGGTGACATCACTGTAGTAGTGTATCTAGTTGAAAAAAAACCCTATTGTTGCCAGGGTTTGAGTTACTCTACCCTAAACAATGAGATTGGGTCCACTGATCTCCATATACTGGACAACGTATGGAATACTGCACGTTTCCCATTCTTTCAGCTAGAGCTAAAACTAAGATCATCCTCATGGTGCAATGAGGTTTAAAAGCAAAGTCTGTCCAAACATGGACTTCACTGGCATTCTGAAGTCCCTGCCAACACATGGGGCGTTTCAGAAGTAAATTAATCCTTGAATTACCTACTAAAGGTAGTGATGTGTTTTTGGATTTAGGCAAAGACGTGGACGTTGTTTAGAAAAGTATGCAGTGTAATTGTAGCTGTGTCAGTCTCAGGATATTGGGGAGACAAAGTTGGGGGAGAGAATATCTTTTATTGGGCCAACTTCTGCTGGTGAGAGAGACAAGCTTTCGAGACACACAGAGCTCTTCTTCAGTGTAAGCTCAAAACTGTCTCTCTCACCGACAGAAGTTGTCTCTCTAATGGCTTAGGAAAGACATTGCTGTACTGGACCAGACCTAGCCCTGATAGTTTGGAGTCCCATCTCCAACAACGATGCATGAGCGCATAGCAAACTAGCCATGTGCACCTCTCCGGTTGCATAACTCTGAGTCCATATGGATTAGAAGGGACGGAGGATTCCTTTCCTACTCTTGCAAGCAATCCATATGGCTCCTGAAGCGTGAGATTTCATTCACTTGTCCTGTGCTCTTATTTTTAAGCTAACCTGCTATAAACCTGCTGCCTGATGAGAAGAAAGTACATTGATGCTACCAGTAGAGTGCAACCGGGACACCACTGTGCTGCCTTTTCAAAGCTGAGCAAGGCTTTGCCTTCCTTCCCAAATGCTTTGCAGGGAGAATCCCATAAAATTACCTGTTCAAAGGCATCAGGCCGTAGTTCTCATGCTTAAACCACTTGTTCATCCTCCTCACGTACAGCCAGTCGCTGACGGAGGTGGGAAGGGTATCCCTGAGAAAGGTTTCAAAGCGAGTCACAGTCAACATATCCCAGGGGTAGCCATTGTCCCAGACGCGACTCATCACCCAGGAGCCGCTTCTAGAGCTGAGATAAACCTAAAAAAAAAAAAAAAAAATGGACAAAGCAGGGTGAGGCCATTACCATTCTAGAAAGGCAACTACAGCAGAGTGATCACTGGTAGAGGCCTCTTCACCACTTCAGTGCTCCAGTTTTACACCAGTGTCACCTCACGGACTTCACTGCACTTACGTTGGGGTAGAACTGGAGTGAAGTAGTGGTGAATCAGGCCCACTTCACACTCCTCCAGCTCCAACCCAGAACTGGTGGGAAGATATACTGCAAAGAAGTGTACATTGCGGGAGTGACACCTACAGTGCTATGCGCTTGGCCTGCTCTTGATTACAATTTGTGCCATGTAATGTATTCCTCCGGCATGCGACCATTCTAAGCTTATGTTAAGTGTATGAACTTCAAAGCCACCTAGAAGACCTGGATGCCTATTCCCATTAATTGGGTGTCCAAATCCATGATGAGACAGCTTTGAAACCCTCAATTATTGTACCTCAATAACGAGAACTAGCAACTCCACAGCAAGACAGGGAATTGTACCTGTGAGGCCGTGTGACTGAGTTCCACAGCAATGTCTGAACCAGAGTTTCCCAGTCCAATCACAAGCACTCTCTTCCCCTTGAATTTTTCCGGTTCCTTGTATTCCCGGCTGTGGAAGTAGCTACCTTTAAACGTCTTTAACCCTGAGGAAAAGTGGAAAGTAAAATGAGTTCATCTGGATATTTAAAGGGATAGATTTTACCCACTTGCAGCTGGACCCCTTTGCAGTAATTTGTGGGGTTCGGCATTTAGTCTCTATCTGATTTCCACAGCAGATTTGCTCATTTCACAAGTCACAAAAAGGATGGTTCAAACTACTCGTGCTACAAACTCCTCCTAGGATTTGATAGTTCAAGGGGGTTCTTTTTTGCCTTGGAAACAGTCTAAGGCACAGGACCAGGAGCCAGTAGTGCTGGTTCCGTGTCCAGCTCTTCCACCTTGTCTAGTTTTTCAAAGTTCTGACCACCTGCAGATGGAGTGGTGGGTGCTCAGCAGCTGTGCAAATGAGGCCCATCACCCCTCTGAGATTCAGTCTTCTCAACTGTAAAATCATGTACGGTGAGGCTGAATTCACTCACACTGGTAAAGAATGTTGAGACACTTGGACAGAAAGCACTTCGTAGATGCAAAGCATCCTCATCCTCATCCTCACCAGGCATAAAGGTTCTGCCACAGCATCTTAGTTGATTGCCATGTCAAGAATCCAGTTACTCCAATGAAATTGCAGATAATAGAAGCACTCAGAGGTCATTGAGAGCAGAATCTGGCCCTGCACATTTTGCGGTGAGACTTCCAACCCCAAGACAAGAGAACACTTGCTTGCATAAAAAAACATTGCATTTGAAAATAGGCCTTGATCATTTGAGAGGATTTGAATTGTTAACATGAACAAAGGACAGAACAAAATCCCCAGAAACACCCTCTCCAAGTTGTTCTAAAGAGATTAATCCTGTGCCTTCGTAATGCCCTGCCAAATAGTAAAATTTGATGACTATACCATTGCATAATGTTTCTCTAAACAAAAAGCTGGGGTTTATATACCGTAATTGCTAACATTGTACTTGACAATTATATGGTCTTGGTTTTTAATACTGCTTATAGTTCTGAACTAAACAGTTATTAAGAAGGTTTGGCAAGTTTTTAAAGCTATAATTAGAACAAGTTGAAAAATGCTTATTTTTTGTGGGCGACAAGGTGGGCGAGGTGATATCTTATATTGGATCAACTTCTGTGGGTGAGAGAGATGAGCTTATGAGCCACACAAAACTCTTATGCAGGTCTGCATGGCTCGAAAGCGTCTCTCTCACAACAATAAAAGATATGACCTCCCCCACCTTGTCTCTCTAATATCTTGGGACTGACACAGCTACAACTACAAGGAATACAACATATTTTTTGTGTGAAATTGTAAAATTATTTTACACCATTTTCTGCAATTTTGTTTTGAATTTCCTATGAAAGAGAGGAAACTGAAATGATTTTGTTTTCAAAAAATCATTATTAGTACAAATTTTCAGGTTTTGGTGAAGTTTTTGAAAACTGAATTCATTTCCAAAAATTTAGTTTTTTTCAATTAAAAAACCTCCTCAATGTGCTGATGAAAATGTTTTGACTAGTCCTTGCTGTAATATATGCATTGCACACACACAACTCACCAGGGAAGCAATCAACTGGGAAATTTGGATACACATGATGCCCCGAACAAACCATAACCGCATCAAATACAGCTGACTCTTCCTTCCCGTCCTGTTTTGTAATAACATCCCACTGTCCGGTGACAGGGAAATCGGGGCGTTTTTTTATACTGCTGACCATAGTCTTAAAAGAAACAAACACATGAGTTTGTATTCATCGGCACACGATTCTGCAGGCAGATAGCTTTGTAAATGTCATCGGTCTTACTGGATTCACAGTAGAGAGCTGGGTGAAACCTTGCTCCACTAAACTCCATAGGAGTTTTGCCATTGACTTTAATAGGGCCAGGATTTCACTCTGGAATACATGTGTAAGAGCTAATGAACTGGCCTTGTCCCCAATAACAACATGCCAAATTATTTTGATTTTCCTGCCTGGCGTTCCCTTACTGCTTCGCCAAAGCGACACCTTACAAAGATGGAAGTCAGTTACAGAGATGTGTTGTCAGTGATGTACCATTCTTAGAAGGTAGGTTCTTTGGGGCAAGGACTGTCTCTCTGTTCTGTGTTCGTACAGCTCCTAGCACAACGGGGTCCTGGTTCATGCCTGGGGTCCTAGGTGCTATTGCAATAAAGATAAATAATAATAATCACTTTGATCTGGGTGACATTTTGGAATCAGAGTTGGACAAATGTAGCCTTTTGGTATGTGTTCACCCAATAGCAGACTGATTTTCACAGGTTTGTTCATTATTAAATCTCAGTCAATTAATGCTTCAGGTAAATTTCAGCCCATGAATGGATTGCTCAGGACCAGTTCTTTGCTATACTTAATTCACTGTTCTCGCTGTGTGATGTCATCTAAGCCACACGGGATTGTTTTGATTGGATGACCGAAACATTTATTTTATAAACAGGAGGAAGGCTTAACTTGTATTTAAACCCTGTGTGTCTCCTGTCTAACATTCAGTTACTCCACCACCAAAACACCGTGTAGATAGAAGGCAGACTCAGAGGGGATGTTTTGAGAAGCACAGTGTGACCCATTTGCCCTTGCCAGCAGACAGACTGATTATATTTGTTCATTGCTCTGAATTAGTCAGTTAAGGCCTGATGGTACTCATCTAACGAGGTCAGCAAGGGTAGAACTCCAGCCTCTGCCCTCAGAGGAATAAAGGACTGGGAGTGAGTTATTCCGCCACTAGGAGCCACTCTTCTAATGGGGACAGGAAGTAGGTAAAGCCATGATTCCGGCCCACCATGCACTGGCCTTAGCAGCTCTAAGTCTTACCTTGAACTTTATATATCTTAAAAGAGCAAAGTGCTTGGCATACATCCTGATGTACTCTTGGAGCTTTGAATTGTGCATGTAATTTGGAAAATCATCAGGGAAAGGGAAGTCAGGGAAACACATCATTTCTTTGCAGGAGTTGGTGAACACGGAGCGGTAAATGCTGGCTCTACCTTCCTCGGCATGTTCCTACAGAGAATAATAATAATTAACAAAACAGCAAAAACATCTGCACAGAAGGTGACTGCAAGACTTGCTGTAACATGGTGGAGATTCACTCACTAAAGAATTAGCTACAGAGACACAATTCTCAGCTTACCTGGGATGCTTCATCCAGCGTTCCTGCACACGTAAGATGAGAAGCGCGAGCTGATGATGAGTTACAGTGTGCTACCAGTGTTGCCAACTTGCAACATTTTGTGTTTATCTTAAAGCCCCAGCTCCTGGAAGCAAGTGATGACATGAGAATCTAATCTTTCATTTTTTAACAGAGTAAGCTGTAGCCCACGGTTGCAGAGAAAAGCTTGAAAATGTGACCTGAGTGTCCCCTGGAGGCAAGTAAGAAGAACCCCAGATTTACCATTTAAAAAAAATCATGATTTTTATGCCAATCTCGTGATCTTTTCAGGTCTGATTTATGATTTTTGAACACCTGGGGTTAGCAACACTGGGTTATTTGGAGACGTGCCATTGTAACCCATGGTCCGTGTGCATGCCATCTTCCGCTCTCTATCTGGGTAAGTCTGCTTTGACTCTTCAGCTCCAGGTGGGGAAACTCATCCTTTTAGCTCCAGAGGTACCTGCCTGGTTTGAACTCCAGTGTGCTAGTCAAAATGTCGGCTATCCCACAATTACAGAGAAATACGCTACAAGGTCAAAATTCCCATTGACTTCAATGGGAGCAGGATCAGACCCCTAAGCCCCGATTCTACAAGGCACTTAAGCACATTTTGCTGAATAGGGGTGGACTTGAGTATGACTTCAAATTAAGCAGATGCTTAAATCCCATCTTCAATGGGATTAAAATTAAGTGTGTGTTTTAGTGCTTTGCTGAATCAGGGCCCATGTTTTTACCATGTAATTACAGAGTACAGAATTCACCAGCCAAATCCTACCAAGGACGGACAGAAATGCTTGGTATAAAAATAAATCCAGTCAAGAAAGAGGACTCTAAGTTTTAATATAATAGATGTGCAGAAGTGCTGCTGCCTTCTCCAATCCTATGCTCCTTTCATAGCGCCTCTCAGATTCTATCACAGGCAGGGAAGAAAGAACATACGCATAACTTCAAATCAATACTCTTTAAAACAAAGTTGGAGGGAGTGTTGTCTAGGGAAGGTGACCAGGAACCAGGACTTGAGTTATATTCCCAGCTCTGCCACGGGACAGCTGTGGAACTTTGGGAAAGTTACTTCACTGCTGAGAGAGACAAGGCTGCTGTGACTCAGTTTCCCCATCTATAAAAGGGGAATAATAATACTATGCTAGCTAAGATCACTTTGAGATACTCAGATGAAAGACACTACACAGATGCAGACTATTATAATCAACTCCTCCTCCATTTACTGGCCGAGACCACAGTTCAGGTCTTCAGGAGGTCTGTGGTTTCTTTGCTGCAGAGAGCTGCTAACATAAAACCAAAGCTCAAAGCAGGGCAAGGAATTTGGCTCCCCATCCCCTCTGCTCCACCAACACCCCCTTCCTTGTCTGCTTGTTCGTCAGATTTTTGCACAATCCCCTCCTTCTTCGCAGCCACCTATGCCTGGTTCAACCTCTCTGAGCTCATCCACAAGGCCCCACCTGTCCCTATTTAAAGACCCACTTTTACTGCCCCCACTCTGAGAGCTAGGATGACAAAATCACACGTGTCTTGACTGTGATCCGAGGCAGGATTTCAACTCAGGCTTTCAGAGGGACAAGGGTAGTGCCTTAATCAAACTCCCTTTAATACGAACATGAGAGTTCGGTATGTGGAAAATGCAGAAAATTAAGAACATAAGAATGGCCATACAGGGTCAGACCAAAGGTCCATCTAGCCCAGTATCCTGTCTTCCGACAGTGGCCAATGCCAGGTGCCCCAGAGGGAATGAACAGAACAGGTAATCATCAAGTGATCCATCCCCTGTCGCCCATTCCCAGTTTCTGGCAAACAGAGGCTAGGGACACAATCCTTGCCCATCCTGGCTAATAGTCATTGATGGACCTATCCTCCATGAACTTATCTAGTTCTTTTTTGAACCCTGTTATGTGTGGCTATTTGGCTTTGTCTGCTGGTGAAATGCAAAGGTCTAATGCGACCCTATTGAAATTAGTGCTAAAAATCCCATTGATTCCAGTGGGTGCAGGCTGTGGCTGGAGTTGGTTAGGATGATGCAGGGGGAACTAGCTGGGAGAAATAGTATGTAATTTAGAAAAAAAGAGTTGGACTGAACAGCCTGACAGATCTATTTTGTTGTGTACTAGTCTCACAGGGGAAGTGGTGCATGTCATGATATATGGAATCGCCGACTGTCTTCACCGGGAGGCATTTATTAAAGAAAACAGCTACATGTTACTGAAAAACAAACAGGCTTCCACACAGCTTGAGTTCCAGTCTTGTCTCTCCCGTTCACCATGGGGTGGGTTTCAGAGACAGAGCTCCAGCCCAAGCCAGAACGTCTACGTGGCTATTTTTAGTGCTGTAGCCTGAGCTACGAGATTCTCTGCCATAGGTTTATTTTATTTTTTGCTGTATAGGCGTACCTAGAGACAATGAATGGCTGAATATCATACTGCCACCTATTACAGGGCAAGCACTAATCTCCTAGGAGGTTTAAAACTTGACCAAGGCATTGAGAAATAAAACGGGTGGGAAGAATCTTGCATTGGCAAGATGGGGATACAGTAGATAGCCCCACTGATACTTATGTGCTAAGCATTAATTTGATAGGTAGTTGGGAAGTTGCCAGTGACCTAAGGGTTAAAGTAGGCCGTTGCCAATTCATGCTGAGTGTTTAAAGTTACCTGATATGTGTGCATTTGTACTTGTGCTCTGCAAATGGGAATGTGAAGTAAGAAGGGTTATGTAATGAAAACAGAACAAAACACATAGCTCCCTATTAACAGGCAATGAGGTGCAAGAAAGGGAGTTGAACCTTTGTCAACTGCATGCTCCTTAGCTGGATTTTCGCTGCAAATACAGGAGTATCTTTACCTGTTGAGATAAGGAGCTTTATAAACATCTGGGATGGGCCCTGCTTTTATTCACCGCACTCAATTTAACTGATTAAAGAAATACAGGATCCCCCTAAAGTTCCTCTGCTTTGTCTCAGGTGCAAACAGATTAATGACTCTTTGTGTGACAGCCTGGCTATTCTTAAGTGACAGGCAGAGAAACCACAACCCTGTTGTTTAAACACAATATCACTGTCAACAAGTTTGAACAAGTGATGGCCAGGAGAACTGCACAGTGAATTGTCTGCCAGGTGCAAAGCTTGGGGATCTCGAGACATCTAGACAGACTTATGTGCAGTGCTGGGGAGGAGCCGATGGTCATGGTACATGAAGGAACCAATGACATAGGGAAAGGTAGGAGAGAGAGCCTGGCAGCCAAATTTAGGCTGCTAGGTAAGAAATTGAAGTCCAGGACCTCCATAGTAGCATTCTCTGAAATGGTTCCAGTTCCACACCCAGGGCCAGTAAAGCAGGCAGAACTGCAGGGTCTCAATGTGTGGATGAGATGATGGAGGAGGGATTTAGGTTTATTAGGGACTGGAGAACCTTTTGGGAAAGGAGGAGCCTGTACAGAAAGGATGGGCTCCACCTACACCAGAACAGAACCAAATTGCTGGCATGTAAAATGAAAACAGTCATAGAGGAGTTTTTAAACTAAGGGCTGGGGGAAAGCTGGTGTGGAGGAGCTCATGGTTCAGACAGAGACATCCCTTAGGGGAGGATCTATTAAAGGGGACATAGGCGCCAACTCTGTGGAAAGGGGATTCTCTATATCTTAGTGGAGAGGACAGAAGTTGACAAAGTACAGGTAGGAACTGAAGAGCAATAGTCAAATGAAAAAGAGTCCCAGACAATTACGCCACTGGAAGGCAGAGAACTAAATACTGACAAGTTTTATGAGTGCTTGTACACAAATGCTAGAAGTCTAAATACTAAAATGGGTGCCTGGTAGTAAATGAGGATCTTGATATAATAGGCATCACAGAACCTTGGGGGAACGATGATAATCAATAGGACACAGTACTACCAGGGTACAAAATATATAGGAATGAAGTGTTGGTCGTGCAGGTGGAGGAATGAGGAGTGGCACTATGTGTGAAAGAAAGCATAAAGTCAAATAGAATAAACATTTTAAATTAATCAAACTGTACCACAGAATCTCTATGGACAGAAATTCCATGCTTGAATACTAAGAGTATAGAGGAGGAATGTACTACTGACCACCTGACTAGGATGGGGATTGTGAAATGCTCAGGGAGATTAGAGAGGCTACAACAACAGAAAACCCAATAATAATTGGGGATTTCAACTATCCCCATATTGACTGGGTACATGTCATCTCAGGACGGGATGCAGAGATAAAATTTCTAAACACCATTAATGACTGCTTCTTGGAGGAGTTAGTCCTAGAATTCACAAGGGGAGAGGCAATTCTTGATTTAGTCCTAAGTGGCACACAGGATCTGGTCCAAGAGGTGAATATAGCTGAACCATTCGGTAATAGTGACCATAATATAATTAAATTTAACATCCTGATAAGGGGAAAATACCAAATAAACCAACCACAGTAGCATTTTACTTCAAAAAGGGGAACTACATAAATGAGAGGAGGCTAGTTAAACAGAAATTAAAAGGAACAGTCACAAGAGTGAAATGCTTGCAAACTTCATGTAAACTTTTTAAAAACACCAAAAAAGAGGCTCAAACTATATGTATACCACCCCCCCCCCAAAAAAAAAACCTGTAAGAGGACCAAAAAAATGCCACCATTGCTAAACAGAGTAAAAAAGGCAGTTAGAGATAAAAAGGCATCCTATAAAAATTGGAAGTCAAATCCTACTGAGGAAAATAGAAAGAAGCATAAACTCTGGCAAGTCCAGTGTAAAAGCATAATTAGGCAGGCCAAAAAAGAATTTGTTTTAAGTACATCAGAAGCAGGAAGCCTGCTGAACAATCAGCGGGGTCACTGGACAATC